AGTGCTTTTTCGACTCGTTTACGATCTTCTTTGTTTTGCGTAAACATTCTTATAATACTAAATAATAATATAGAAATTTATTTATGTATTCATGTTTAATTTACATATATTCATATATAGATGCAAATTAAATTTATACAAATTTACTCACTTCTTAACAGGTATTTTTCCTGATTTATCAGCTGCAAGTGTAAGTTTGGTATGTGCTTTCTGCAAAAACATAGTTGTACTGATGTTTAATAGAGATAGATTATATGCAAGCTGAAAAATTTCTTCTGTCCAATGTTTTGCAACTTCTGCACGTGTTGTACAGAAGTTAATAAAATTCATATTGACAAAATCAGATCCATAACAAATTGTTACTGTTTTCTCTTCTAAAGAATCTTGAGAACCCATTGTCACAAGATATCTCAATTTGGGATCCTGAAAAAGCATTTCTTATTTTAAAAAAGATGACAAAATATGATTTTAATATAGAGATATCAATAATATTTATTCATATGAAATTAACTTATTCGTGTAATGGAAGTAACTATAACTTATATTATAATAAGCTACTAGTATAGATTGGAACTACAATGTTACTTTACAAAATGATTATTGATTTATAGGAAAATGAAACAGATAAGAACTGCTCTGCTTCCTATACAACTAAGAATATTTCCATTGTGTACAAAGATAGGTGTGACTGAAAAAAATGAACTACATTGAGGACATAAAGTAGGTAATATTCTATTTATAGATTTGTCAATAATTATCATGTGGTGGTGCTGTGCGTCATTAGCAACCACGCAAAAGAATGATATAATTATAAAAAAGAACATCTTCATTTCCAAATATTTACACCTAATACACATTAATACAACTAATAGAACGTTTAACTAAGTTTATTCTTTTCTATGATTATTAACAATAATAAACTCATCTAAATTTTACAATGAAAAATTCAAATACAATTATATTATACTGAAAAAAACAAAAAAAAATAATTTAATACCTTTGGTACTTTAGCATATTTTCCAGTTCTAGTATCTCTTATTACAGCAATATCCAACATTTCCATTTCATTATGTTGATCCACCCAATGCAGATAAAATCCAAACTTATCGACTCTCAATGTTACTGGAGTTGCTATACCAGAATCCTACGTAGAAATATGAATAAAACTAATCATCATGCACATACAATAACATAACTTGTTACTTAAAATTTAATACCATCTAAAATATTCTGCTATAATAATAATTTGGTATATAACTCATACCTCATCCCATTTGATGAATTTTTCTCCCTCTTGTAATTGTTGAGACACTTCAATAGGTCTAAATTGCACGACACTACCTGCTGTCTTATTACCCGCCATCCTGCCTGAAGGATACTGCGAGTAGTTTGGTATAGAGACAATATTATTTCCTAGCACGAATGCACTAATAAAGAAGCAAGCAATGCAGGCTGATTGTATCAATGACAACAATAACAAGCACAAAGACGTTGATAGCCACAGTAACAATGACAATGATGTCAATGGCTATAACGAAAACGACGTCGATGATAACGGTAATAAAAGACAAAACGATGAGGGCAATAACGACGTTGACGACAGTAATGGCACCAGGAATAATAATAACGACGACGACGACGACGACGACGACGACGACGACGGTAACGATGACGATGACGATGACGACGGCGACGACGACGGTGGCAGCGGTGACGACGGTAGCAGCGGTGACGACGGTGACGGCGATATAAGATTCATCGAGATTTTCTTATGCATTAGACGCACCTCATGAACCACCTTACCTTGACAGGTATTGTTGTTTGATCATCCGTAATGAAAGATGTAACCGTATTTCGATGTCGATGTCGTCGTCGTCGCCGTCGTCGCAGAATTCTGACAGGTATCGTCTTATAAATACCGATAATAGATACGTAAAGTTTTTGGTGAACACGTCAGTCCCGGTTAATTAAACGTTTTGAAGAAAAAACAAATCATTGGATTGCCAAATCACTGTCTGGTATTGCGATGAAAATTAAAAGAACAGTTTAACACATATGTCCCACGGTAAAAAGAGCTTGCAATTGATATGCACCGCAAAAGTTTTCGTACTTCTGAGCACTCGCGCACTCACTTGGTCCAGAAGAACATTCTTCCGCGCGCCGTACCGAAGATATTCCGAGCAAATCCGAGCACCGCCACCCGTCACCCGTCATCCGTCACCCGTTACCCTCGTCGCCAGGAGGCGCTCAAACTGTTTCACAAATTATAAAAGAACGTATTACACGTGCGCTTATCGCGCTCAAATTGATTTTAAAGCGAACTATGATATTCATACGATAATACCATTACTGTTTTTGTGCTTTTCTTAACGCTATTTTGATCCTATAATTATCCATAAATAGTTTTTTAATTGATTATTATAACTGTGACCTTTCTTTTAAATATTATCAATTTTATTTGAAAATAATCAATTTAAAATTAATAATTTTTAGTAAATTTTGACACTAATTCTAGTTTTACTTTAAAATAAATATATTCTTAATATGCAAAAAAACTAACCAACTCTTTAAATTCATAAAGTCGACTTAATTTTATACTGCAACTATTAAAATTGATTCAATTTAGTCTAACGATAAATAAACGATAGATCATTAAATATTTTATTACATTTTAATGATAGTTGAATATCCTATCTAAATTATTAATTAAAAAAAAATAAATTTCGAATATTTTTATCGTATTCAATATATATTATAATATAATGATATTAAACAATTAAAATTTAAATGTTTTTTGTATTTATATTTAAAATATAGATATAATTATTATTAATATTCTTACTATTATTAATGATTGAGTTATGATTAACACATTTAATTAAATATTAATATATATATAATTAAATATAAAAAAAATTTATTTATTTAAAAAAATTTGTTTAAAAAAATTTATTTAAAAAAATTTATTTTTTATTTAAATGAATTTCACAATATAATTTTTGATTAGATATACACATTGCATCACTGTCCTCAAAATAATGTTTTGTAATGTAATCAATTAATAATTGATATTCTGGTCAATCATAAAAGGTTAAATTGATGCTAAAATCTCTTCAATCTTATGGAAGTCTTATATTTTAAAAATCTTAATTATTAATGATGCAATACAAGTTAAGATTAAATAATAATGAAATACAGAATATTTTTATATATGTTAACAAAAATCATTTGGTGTTTACAACATAAAAATAAATAAGTAATCGAATATGATTGTAATAAAAGATAAAGATGTATAAATGTTTAAATTTTATCACTACTATCAATTTACATGTAATAATCCATCTTCATTTCTATTGATAGGATCTCCTTTTAATAATGCAATGATCATACTGAAAAATATGTAATGAACATTTTCTTAACCTTTTGTTTGTTAAATTGAATGATTAAATAATAATTTAACATATACATACATATATACATACCAATAAAGATAAATAAAAAAGAAAATTAGATAATATCCAAGATAAATCATACAATCTCTTGTATGCCTTTTTAATTGTCCACGGTTATGGATTTCTGTAGGATCATAAACTCCCATATTACCACTGGGCACTCCAGAGTATTCATAGACTAACCATAATGTCATAGGTAAATTTACCAAAAACAATATTAATTGTCCATGTGTTAATAATAAACATTCTAAGAATAAATGTGCTATAAGCTTTGGTACTACCCACTGTAAAATATTACTATTTAGAATTAGTTATATTATTCTTTTATTGATTAATATTTATAACAAGTTTACAATTACCGTATTTAATTTTGAACAACACTGTTGAGCATTCAAATAATCACATTCTAAATCTGATAAGGTTATAACCTATATTATATATATATATTAATTCTAAGATAAGGAATCTAATTACATGTCTTCTTATTAACAAAAGAAAAATTATATTAGAAAAATTATTTTAAAAATGTTTAAAATTGAATACAGCGCCATTACACTAAATATATAATACTAAAAAAACATATGTGATAAAAAATCCCTAAATATATATTTTCAATAAATCCTATATAAACTTCAAGAATAAATTTCTACAATTATATATAAATAACAAAATATAAATATAGTAATTTTTTTTTAAATTTTTGAAATATAAAAAGGATACAAAATACACTAAAAGAAAAAGTACTGAACCGGTATCGATTAAAGCTAATACGAACAACAACGGCTCAGATATTAAACCCATTCTAATGATCTTGATTAGTGTAAATAGTCTTTAGATAACATTAGGATCGAATCTGATGATTCATGTATGCCTTTCTTTAAAATATAAAATTATTTGAAATACTTTCCACGTACAAAGTTCAATAAACATAAGAGAAAACTGAATTGTCAAAATCGACAAAACGAATAACTTACGATACTACCAACTATTGAGAATACTTTTCTAATATTGCCTTCTTCAAACTAATACCGCCTAGTCATAGATGATAATGTAACGGAATTCTCTATATTATAAATATTCATACTCGTACTTTATACCGAAGATAAAATATAATATAGATTTAAAACTTTCATGTTACTAAAGTGATTTGCTAATTTAAAAAAAAAATCATTGTGGTGACCTCTATAATTTTTAAACATTAATTTAGAATTTCAATATAATCAATATAATATAATCAATGAAGACAATAAAATAGGAAAGATGTAAAAATTAATATTTTTATATTTTTAATTATATATTTCTAAATACAATCTTTATCTCTATCTATAAACATAATGAAAAACATAATAGAAAGGAAGATATTAAATCTAGATTATAATCTAGATTATATCTTATCTATGTCTATGTTATTGTGTCGATACTAAAAAAAATAGATAAAATGTAAACAATATTTAAGAACCAGTAAAAAAACGAATTATTTATTTAATATTATTATTAAATTGTATATTTTCTAATTACTAATATAAATTATTTATATAAATCTCTCTAAAATAGAATAAAATAAGAAGTATATATATTAATTTCTATGAACAAATTTTATTTGCATTTGTTATTTGTTATTTATAAAAATAATTCTTAATATATAAAATTATAATTACAGAAATGTTTCGGGACACTCCGAAAATTATCATAGAAGATGCATCTTCTCCATCTGCTTCGTATGTTATATACATTAAAATGGAAGATTTATTAGAAAAATTAAAATTGTTACATTATGATACTGAATTTTTATCAGAATTTAAAATAAAAGCTATAAATAGGTAATATAATTATTATAATTATATAATATTTTAATTTTATCTTCTATAAATTATTAAAAAAAAATATTGATTCAAAATATAGGAATTATTTTGTAACACAAACAAATCCAGGAGAACAATTTTATACATTTACATCTTTAGCTGCATGGCTAATTAGGAAAGCAGGTGGAAATTTTGAAGTTCCACAAGAATCGGATGACCCTAATGCTACCATAGGTTTAATATTGGATCATTTAAGAGATACTGATGTATCAATAGAATTTCCACCTAATAAGCTTAAACAAGGAAGTGGTGAACATGCAATTTATGTTTTAGATAATTTAGCAGATGGGGCATTAAAAGCACAAAAATTTCAATGGAAAAAGTAAATTTTTTAAATTTAAAAAAGAAAAAAAATGTAATAAAGATATTGTAAACATAATCAAATATCGTAAAAAATAAATATTTTTAGATTAGAGATATCACCTGATGAACCAACTAATGAACCAGATATAGAAGATGATGATGCAGAATTAATTTTAGAAAAAGTAGAGGAGGAAATGATGGCTGAATATGATGATGAAGATGAAGATATCTTACATGTTGATGATATTACAAAACTTTATGGACAAAACTTTGTAAGTATGGAAAGTATGGAAGTATTTGTATCATATTAATTATATTTTAACTTTTTGTAATATTTTATAGAATGAAAGTCAGAAACCTGATGATATTTTAGAATCTAAGACAAACAGAGAAGAATGGCAATTAGAATTGGAAAGAGTATTACCTCAACTCAAAGTAACTGTAAAAACAGGTACATAATATTTAATAAAAATTGAAAAAACAGAATTAAAAATAAATTTATTTAATATATAAATAATAAATTTATTTCAGATTCAAGAGATTGGAGATCACATATAGACCAAATGAAACAATTACGTATGAATATAGCAACAAATTTAACTGGAGTAAAAAATCAATTAGATAAACTACATATTGATATATCTAATACATTGGATAAAATAAAAACAAGAGAATCCTACTTAAATAGACAACTTGAGCCTACTTTAAAAGAATATCAAATATTTCAAGATGAATTATCAAAAATCAAAGAACAATATAGAGATGTTAGTGGAGGTGTAACTGAAAGGACTAGAATTTTTAATAAATTATCGGAAGAATTGGAACAAGTAAAAAAAGAAATGGATGAACGAGGATCAAGTATGACAGATGGAAGTAAGTATTTTTTTAATCTCTGGTACGACAATTGATCATTATAGATTTTAAGATAAAAAATAAATCTTTTAACAAAGGTAAATTAAATAAGAGATTTGTGCTATGAGCGATATAAAATATAAATAAATATTTATTTAAAATCAACAATTCAAATAACACAATTCAAATTGATTGTAGTCAATTCTCGTACCGAAGAAATTAATGTAATTATATTATATATAATAATATTATAATATTATATAATATATATTAAATGCATTAATCATAAATATTTTTTATAGCTCCATTGATAAATATAAAAAAAACGATTACTAAAATGAAAAATGAAATTTCTGAAATGAATGTTCGAATTGGTGTTTTAGAATATAGTTTAATGTGTGCAAGGATCCGAGATCGCACGCAATTGCAAGAAGATATAAATAATCCAAATAGCATCGCGATAAGTTGAATGAGTATCATAATAATTTAAGTAATTTTTACTATCATTGCATTTATTGACATTGTTATGAATGATATTTTTGATTTTACACAAAATTTATCTATTTATTTTTATTGTTTTCTTTTATTATATTTAAAATAGATCGTATAAGATATTCCAAAAATGTTGGAACATCTGTAAACTGAAAATTTCTAAGATAATTTTAAGCAATATTTTCCTTTTCTTAAAGTAATCAATTAAATAACAATTATTATATATATAAATTATGTACAATTTTCGTTATGACTTTATTAACAAAAAACACTGGTCAATCTTGAAGCACATCGAGTAACGTTGAATATATGCTATCGATCAAGCACGAATCCGAATAATATATCTCAAAGAATTGTATATTGAATATAACAAAAATTTTTTTATCAATTAAAAATTATATTATTCGAATTATATCGAATATATCGAATTATATCACGAGTAAAAAAATAAATATAATATTCAACATATTTTCTTCGAAATATATTGTTCGATCAACGATATCTAGTTACTATCATGGTTCGATTAGGCTATGCACTTCGTGATTGGCCAGTATTTTTTGTTAATAATTCTTAATAAAATAAATATATAATTATATATATAATTATAAATTTAATATATAATTCTCAATAAAAGCCGAGAAAGTTTTTACAAAGAAAAATGTTTAAAATTAATTCAGGAATCTCCAATGTATAGATATTCTAACATTTTTGGGACATCTTGTATATAATTTGTGATATACATACTTTTACTGATAATAGTTATCGTTAAAAAGAATCCAATGAAGCATTTGTTTCATATTATATTTATAAAATTTTTATGCTGTGAATTTAGCTTGTAAAAACTGATTATTCAAATATATAATATTTTTTTATAATTATTTTAAATAAAATTGTACAATAATTAAAAATATGTTTGTATAAAACTTATTTATCATTTTTTTTAAATGATTCATATTTATAATTAAAGATAATATAATTGAAAATAAAATATTATGTAACTGAAATCAAAAACACAATTAATTATTTATCGATTAGATCAATATGATAAATTTAATTCAAAGAGAGAAAACGCAAAATAAACTGCATTCCCTCCTCTTTCAACAATTTATCAAGTTGCAAAGTTATTCATTGCAAAGTTTTACACAGATCAGTCATTGTGCGACTTTCGTTATGAAATGTGACATATTATATACGGTGTTTTATAACTAATAATAATATTTTACAACGCTAATAATTTTAAATGATTTTTAATCATTATAATAAACTCTTTTTTGATAAACAGGTAATTAAATTCATATAATTTTTTATGTGCACCAATTTCAATTATCTATCAAATTTTAAAAATTTATATTCGTCTTTTATTTAACGCTTTAATTTGTCTTTTTTTTTATTATCTATGTCATATCCCTATTATTTTTAATTAACTCATTGTAAATAAAAATTGATCATATAATTAAAATTATATATTTATATTAAATGTATTAAATTATACAACTGATGATATACAAAGTAAAATATTACTTAAAGGTCATTGACACGTCTATCTCCTCGGCAGGATGCACTTTCTTTCCAGTTTTAAAAATATTTTTCTATATTTATATATGTCAATTTTTCTTTAACTTTCACTAATGTTTTACGCGCATTTTGAAACAGATTCTCTTCATTATTCATTCCGGTAAGATATTACTAATATATTTATATTTAAATAAATTATTTAAAATAATTAATTAACTTTATTCATTATTAAAATGTACAAAATTCATTATTAATTTTTTATTCTCGAATATTTTATGATATGAATATAAAATTGGATTATAATAATGTATATATAATTATAAACATATGACACATTTTACTTATCGTGAATCTTTCGTTATCAATTAATTACGATTGGATATATATATA